ATTCCAGAGACTGGATTCGACTGTTGTGCCTCTGACTACTGATTGAGAACAAGCTCCATTTCCCATGCAGAGAAGTCCATCGACAGCCCATGAGGAAGGAGCTAACGCGGGAGTGTGTGGGCAAGAGCCTAAGCCTCATCAAAGTGAACGCGGTATATCCAAGGCAAAGGATAAAAAATTGGTCGCCTCTTCTCGAGGTGATAATGAGAAGGATAACCGCACTCGTTAGGCGGATAAGCCTAGAACAAGAAAGAGGAACCCTGCTGGGGTGACCTCGAAGAGAAGAATTAAAAAGGGGGCTGCCCTATATACTTCTTCGGGTCTCGCAGGCTTGGAGACAGAGATAATGGTCTCGTCGCCGCCGATCGAGGCTCCATCAGGCTATGCAGAAGATAAAGCCTCAGTGGAAGGGCTGAGCGGCTCTACTTCGGCGGATTCTCCCTCGTTTAACGATGACTAGTCTTTCGAGCTGAAACAACGTACTCATAAAATAGATGGAGCGAGGGTACGGCGCGCTGCGAAGGGACGTGTCCGTCAAGTGGTTGCGGCCTTTGAATCCAGCATGGTCATTGCTACAAAGGAGGATGACCATGCTACTGCTGAAATTAGGGGTGGGCAACTGGTTCGGTAAACCCGAACCGAAACCGATTAAACCGAACCGAAACTGAATTAATGTTATTTGGTTCGGAATTGGGAATAAAATATCGATAGTTCGGAAATCAGTTCTTTCCACTTAACTGAATTTTCGAATTTCCGACCGAAAAACCAAAATACTATAATTGCAAGCTCCAAATGGTGGATTTTTATGTTTGTAGTTGTGTTTAGACTTAAATATTTGAAATGTTTTATGACTTATGTGTTGAAAAGTTTGATTTTATCATTGATGATGCATATAATTACATATTTATTGTTTATATTAGGGGTGAAAAATAATTTAAATGTGAAAAAGATACAAGTAGCTTCACAAATTCGGTTTTGTGTGAAAAACCGAACCGAATTATAATTGGTTTAAACCGACCTAACCAAATTATAATTCGGTTCGAATTCGGTTTGAGGTTTGAGAAAATTCTGGGACCCGGTATTCATAATTTCGGTTTGGTAGAAATCGAGCCAACCGAATGCCCACCCCTAGCTGAAATGATGAATCACGTTATGGGAGAGGGTGAAAGAATATTTTCGGTGATGGACGAATATGGCTCCAACATGTTGGATCCTTCTATTGGGGGTCGAAAATGCCCTCTGGACGAGGTTGAGGATGAGATGGGTGATATTCCCACGCCCAAGAAACAATTTGTGGAAGCTTCAGAGACTAATGAGAAGGTGGAGGAAGCCAGCCTAGAGTGGCCCCAATCCGATAAATGAGACTTTTGGCCTGGAATGTGAGAGGAATTGGACCATCCCTCACATTCCAAACAGCTGTCGGTTTAGTTCATTCTAATAAACCGGACCTTGTTTTCTTGTCGAAGACAAGATCGCGCCGGAGCGTCGTTTCCCGTCATATGCAGGGTTTAGGTTTTGATAATTCGCATTGTTTCTTTGTAGATGCTGTTAATGCATCAGGTGGTCTTGTCGTAGCTTAGTCCCCGGAAGTTGAAGCTTCAGTTTTTTTCCATTCCAACTTCTGCATTTGTACTCGGATTAATGAAGGGGATTTTTCCTATGTTGTGGATTTTGTCTACATTAGTTGCGTTGAAGTAATAAAGAGCTAACCAATTGGTTCAGCTGCGTGAAATTTGTGATGGCTTTGATCTGCCTTATGTGGTTATGGGAGATTTCAATGTGACTCTCCGCGGGAGTGAAAAAGATGGTTGAAATCCATGGAATGCGGCCCAAGCTACTGATCTCCGGAGTTTTATTGATAACCTGGGCCTCCATGACCCTGGGTATCAAGGTGATCAGTTTACGTGGACAAATAAACGAATGAGATCGGCCTGTATCCGGCAACGTCTAGATAGGGCTCTCTGCTCTCAGACCTGGATTGATCTTTTCACTGATACCCTTGTCAAACACTTCAAGGACCAGGGGTTTGATCATCGAGCTTTGCTCTTATCAGATAAAACCCTATGTTCGACATAGTCGACCGTTATTCCGATTTGATGCCCGGTGGGCGGACAATCTGGAGGTTAAAGCTATGGTGACATATGTTTGGCAAGAAGACATATGTTTACCTCGGAAACCAGGTGTTGAACATGACTGAGCGGGTTGCTAAGCTCCCAATAGATTGTCAAGTTACTGATGCAATGAACAACAGTCTTACAGCAGAAGTATTACCTACTAAGGTAAGGAAAACTGTCTTTTCCATAGGTTCGAAGCAGGAACCAGGTTTGGATGGTTTCATAGGAAAATTCTTTAAAGCTTTCTGGGAAATAGTCGGTGATTCAGAGATTGAGGCGGTATGCTCGTTCTTTTCAACAAGTAGGATGCTTCGTAGTTTCAATCATACTTGGCTGACACTAATCGCGAAAGTGGATAATGTTGAAATCATGCGGCAGCTCCGACCTATTAGCTTATGTCAGTTCGTCTATAAGATATTACCAAAATTATGGCGGAAAGGTTGGCTAACTTGTTGCCATGTATCATCTTCGAAGGCCAAAATGCTTTTATTCGGGAGAGGCAAATTTTGAAAAATGTCTTGCTAGGGCACGAATTAATGCATTACCTGAAAATCAAATCACGAGGAAAGAAAGGGTTCAAGGCGCTAAAGGTTGACATGGAAAAGGCCTATGATAGAGTTGAATGGCCCTTTCTCCTTGCGATTTTGGCTAAGATGGGTTTTAACTCAACCTGGAGAGGCTGGGTGTACGAATGTCTCCGATCAACTTCTTTTCCGGTCCTTATGAATGGCACTTCAAAGGGGTTCTTTACTCTCTCAAGAGGCGTTTGACAGGGTGATCAGCTCTCCCCTCTTTTGTTTGTGATTTGCACAGAGGGGTTTGCAGCTCTCCTGCGGAAAGCTATTTCAGATGGGAAGCTGGAGGGGGTCAAAGTCGCCCCTCGTTCTCCATGGATCTCACATTTGTTTTTTGCTGATGATTCGTATTTATTCCTTCGAGGATCTCTACATGAATGTGAGAATTTGATCACAGTGCTAAATGAATATGAGGAACTTAATGGCCAATGGGTTAAGCTGGCAAAATCAGCGGTTTGCTTTAGCAAAAATATAGTTGTACCAGACCAAGAGTTCCTTGGTTAGATTCTGGGAGTTAGGGCAGTGTGTGTTCACGATAAATACTTGGGATTGCCTACTCTGATAGCCCGATCAAAGATGGAGATGTTCCGCTATTTGGAGGAGAAGTTGCTAGCTCGGTTACAGGGGTGGAAGCAGAGGACTCTGTCTTGGGAAGCGAAAGAGACGTTGATAAAATCGGTCGCTCTAGCCTTGCCTTTACATGTTATGTCCTGCTTTAAACTCCTTCTCTCGCTCTATCGCCTCTCAGACAAACACGTTTCGAGGTTCTGGTGGGGCGTGGAGAATGGGCATTCGAAAATAAGATAGATGTCCTGGTGGAACATGTGCAGAAGTAAACATGATGGTGGGATGAGGTTTCGTCGCTTCGAGCATTTCAATCAGGCGCTCCTAGCCAAGATTAGCTGGCACATATTGAATGATCCCAGCTCTCTCCTTGCCCAGGTGTATAAAGGAAAGTATTTTCCGCGGGGATGTTTCCTCGATGCCATTGCGCATTCCCGCCCGTCCTGGGGTTGGCAAAACATCATGTTCGGTCGGCAATTGTTGGTGCAGGGACTTAGATGGCAAATTGGGAATGGCCAGGCAGCTTCGTTGCGTCATAGAAATTGGGTGCCTCGCCTTCATCCCCTAGCTCCTGCGTTTAATCCCCTGATCTTGCCTGAAGATGGTGAGCTTACGGTAGATGAAGTTATTTGCCAGGGGGAAGGGCGTTGGTGTGATTTGAAACTAAGCCAGTGATTTGACCCACCTACTTGTCGTGCTATTAAAGAGATGCCTCAGCCGAGATATAATGTTGAGGATTGCCTTATTTGGCATTGTACACTTGACGGATCTTTCACTGTTAAATCGGCTTACCCTTTGACAGTCTTGATGGATAAACGAGTCGGTCGCTAACGATCATTGTCTAGTTGGATGAATAGGTCCAGCTGGATCCGGTTGTGGGCAGCTCCTATTCCCCCTAAAGCTAAAGGTTTTTCTTTGGCAAATCTTCAATCGTCTCCTCCCCACGACGGAGGCTTGATTGAAAAGAATGTCCAGGTCCATCCCCGGTGTCCGGTTGGCTGGGCGGATTCGGAGACATTGGAGCATTTGTTTCTAGAGTGTCCAGTGGCTAGGGCCCTGTGGGACTATGCGGGACTAGAGTATCTAGGCCTAGGGCTGCCTCGCCACACTTTCCCTTTGTTCCTAAAAAAGTTGATGATGCTCATCCATCAACCTCAGCTGGTTATGGCGGTCACTGCCGCCCTTTGGAGAATCTGGCGATCGCGAAACTGGGTAGTCTTTGAGGGCAAACCGTTTGCTATCCCACCTTTAATGCGACAATTTCACCAGCAATATCAGGAATGGGTAAGTTTGCCAATTGATAGGGCTCAGCAGCCTCCTATCCAGCCTATGATGGTTGCCCCAACTTGCCCTATAATTTGTAAGTGGGACGGGGCAACCAAACTTGCGTCTCATTCGGCAGGAGAGATGATTCTTATGAATCAGGTTGGGGAGGTTATCCTACTTGAAGGGGGTTCAGTTTGTTGGGGTTGATGATCCTTTAATTGCTGAAATGCTCTCCCTCCAGGAAGCAATTTTCTGGTGTCTGGCGTCCAGGTTTACGGAAGTACAATTCAAAGGGGATGCTAAGGTGATTATTGATAAGGTCAATCAATCGGACACCAGGGATAGCCGGATTGGAGCTCTTCTTGAGGAGGTTGTGCGATGCTTAGAGATTCATAGTGGGCTCACTGTGCGATTTGTAGGTCGGAGTAGTAATAGGGTAGCCTACTTGGTGGCTAAGAAGGTCCTTCAATTGTACCCAACTACTAGTCGTTTTATTTGATTTTATGTATATGATTACCTTTTGTAAAAAAATTAAACTTGGAATGTTTAGCTAATGTTAGTGACTACGAATGAAATTAAATATTTGTAATGACCAAACATGAATTAATAATCTCAGTTACTCATTTCCTAATTGCTCAATCCAAACTACTCATACAACTGTTGCAAAACAACAGATTACCTTATAAAATAAAAACATCTCTTCCTCTACTGCCTTCCAAATCGCGAGCTCACTTATCTCAGTTTCGCTGGTCCAGAGCCTCCTTGTTCAATTGCTTCTTGTAAAACACCAGTCTACTGTATACAATAGAAAGATTTCTTCCTCTTCTTCCTTCCAAATCGCCAGCATGCTCATCTCAGTTTTGCGCTGTTGCAGAGCCTCCTTGTTCAACAGCAAACGCATATAAAGAAGTTGTTATCAGAATTAGGCAATCAGAGATAACATCATGGTCCCATCATTTCAATTTGTTTCAAATAAAAAAAAAAAAAACATCACACACCATTGGGTCTTCCCTCAACAAAGCTCACAGCTACATGCTCGAAGAATTCTTTGGTAGCATCTGCGCATCCACTCATGATAATGAACTCATCAAAGCATCAAACAGTTGTTTAGTAGAAATAGCAGCAGATCACTCCATATTTCTAGGTTACATATCAGGTGAATAGTTCAACCTACTAGTCAACATGATTATCCTTGCAACGTATAGCTTAAAGGAAGGCTTGTCGCGTTAGCCTAGTCAAAGTCACCTAGTCTTGTACTGGAGTTCATATACCCTCAATCTGAAATCCACAAAGAAGAGTATATATATCATACCGTGCTTCATTGTTAGAGAAGGATCTTTCTCATCGACGTATCCTATCACTTTAGCTGGTGTTCCTGCCATCATGCTTCGTACAGCCAGAAATGAGGGAGTAATCAGCATTGCTTATGCCAATTCGGTTAAAGGAATGATTATTACTGTTTTTAGACATCAGAAGGCTCTGTCTGTCCTCACCTGTGTGGGCCGACATCCTTTAATACCAGAGAGCTAGAAGCTATCATAGCCCCTTCACCAATTTTTACATTACCGAGTATTGTCACACATGCTCCAATCAGTGCACCATCACCAACTTTCGGATGGCGATCTCCAACTTCTTTCCCAGTGCCTCCAAGAGTAACCCCCTGCCGGAAATTCAGGGTGTTGTTGCTTGAGTTCTAGTTGTTGTCAATAAGAAACATGTTCCTTAAAGAGGCTAAAAAAGGCTAACCAGTGACAATTACTGATAGCGAACCCACCACCAAACTGAGAACCAATAATGATTGGTGGAAACTGGGCCAAAACTACTAACATGCATCATTGTACTAACATAGCAAAAAGGCTAACCCGTCAACCAGACAATCATGATATTGCCAGTTATAGAGTGGGTAATAGGCCAGCTTACATGCATTAATGACACTCTGTTGCCAATAACTGCAGTTTCTCCAATAACCACGCCAGTTCCATGATCCAACAAAATGCCGTCTCCAACCTTTGCAGCTGTTTATTGAATAATAGCATTCGCATTAAAGGGTCTTAAAAGGGGGTCAGAAAAATGCTAGGCGTCTTGTGCTTATTGACGGACATCATCTAAAAGTACTAAACATTGTTAATCTCTGACTTTCATCAACAGCAAAAGCATTGAGCATTGAAAGATGACGTAGCATATGTTATCACCAAAGCAGAAGTAAGAGTACCTGGATGAATATCAACTCCAAACACCTGGAAGCAAACATAGGCCATGAGGAAACAAACTAAAACCAGAATCCACTATAATGGCTAAGTAATGGAGCTACCTCACTGATTCGACTCTGCAATGCAAGAGCCAACACTTTTCGTCCTTGGTTCCACAACACGTGAGCAACTCTATACGATTGCAGGGAATGGTAACCCTGTAAGAGGAAAGCAATTCAAGTGACTAGTCACTGTGTGTCTCAATTCCAAACACCTGGCAGTGAAAAGAGCAGGTAGCAAGGACTTCAACGATTCTTGTGAGAGGGAAAGAAAAAGAAAAAGAAAAAAAGAACAGATCTACATGCCTCACCCAGATATGTAACAATCGCATGGAACGTACCTTTAGATACAATAGAGCGGTACAATATGAGAGACAAGCAGGATCCCGGTCTTTGAACGCCTAGGATGAGGAAGTAAGAGTTCTAACTTGTAAAACCCATTGATGAAATGAAGCAATTCAATCAATCAGTAGGGATTGCTGGAAAGGAAGTTACCTGAACATCTAGGCGAATCGCACGCTGAATACCTCTATCATGCAATATCACATCCATAAATGTATCCAACAGCTGAGTAGCTAAAAGGGTAGGATTCTGAAGTCGATTGGCAAGAACAAAGGCAAGTGCTTGCTCCAAGCAATCATGTGAAAGTATACTAGCATACAGAAAGCTACTTAAAATTGGTTCCTTATCTGCCTGCAATGTGACAATGGCAACGTCTGCATCAGTAAGAAGCTCAAAAGCACATGATTGAATAACTCCAGAACTCATCCAATTGTTTTCGAAAGGAAGAGCTACAGATCCTTCTATTCACAAAAGAGGAAAGACAGGTCTACAGCACTACCACGTCCCTTATTAAACTAAAAATAAAGTTAAGAAAATCCAAAATTCAACCTCAAACCCTTGTGTAACTCTCCCATTTCACTGGTATCATTTTTAGCAAATCGAATAGTCAATCAACTAACGGATGATGAGTATTGAAAAGGAAAAGGGGGCAAAATGAAACAAAAAAAAAAAAACTGATGAAGGTAAGAGAAACGGCCGGTGGACCTCCAGCTTGGCCTCGTCCTTGACGGCCTCCCAAATGTGGTCAAGGGAGTTGGCAAGCGAGTCAGAGTCGGGCCTGGAGAAGCCTCTCGCGTAAACAGGGAAAATCTTCTCAAAGGGATACGAGCCCGAATCAGAAGGGGAAGGAGGGGTAGGGCGATTAAAAGCTTCTCCACCATTCTGGTGTTTTGCGAGGATGAGGGAGAGCATATTATCTGGAAGGGAAAGACAGGCTGCGTCGTCTTCCTCGGCCTTGCTGAAGCGAGTGGCCATGGAGATGGAGACGGAGAGGTTTGGTTTTGCTGTCTATATAGGGGAAGATGGCATTGAATCGGCCGGAGAGGACGGGAAAGGGGAATGGAGGTGGTGCTGGTGCTGGTGGAAGCAGGGGAACGGAACGGAGACAAGAAGGAAGCAGCAGTCGCACATCGACCGCAGTCCGCAGCAAGCAGCTTCTCTGACCTGACAGACAATTTATGTCCATCGGTCGTGGGATCCGCTTTTGCGATACGGTGGGGTGCATAATTGTGGAAAAAATCCCAAGTTACACATGTTTTTTAAAAAATTCTCAAAATACACAAGTTATGAAAATAATTCCCAATCTACGTTAGTTTGGGCCATCACCGCTGTCGACGAAGACAGTGATTGCATCACTGTTGTCGACGAAGACAGTGATTGCATCACCGCTGTCGACGAAGACAGTGATTGCATCACTGCAGTACACGGCCGCGGTAAAGGCCTGACCTGCGTCGAAACTTTAAACAAACGTAACTTTGTGCTCGGTTATCCGATCGTAGCGAAATTTTTTTTGATTCCACATAATTTTTCGAGATCTTGCAAGCCGCAAATTACCGTAGGCGGTTTGGTCCCGCCTTCGTCTTGAAAATATGTCGTTTGCTACTTCGAACGAGCCTTTTTTCGATTTCGTCAAACTTTGAACGACCATAACTTTGTGCTCCACAATCCGAAAATCATGAATTTTTTTTTTATTTCGCATAAATTTTTAAGGACTACAATATTTAGTAGGAGAGAATTTTCAAAAAATGAATTATTTATGGATATAAGGGATTTTGGGAATAACTTTACCTTCCTTTTCAGGAATCCAAGTACATTCCGAAAATATGTCTATGATAAAAATTGTAGTCCTTAAAAAGTTATGCGAAATAAAAAAAAAATTCATGATTTTCGGATTGTGGAGCACAAAGTTATGGTCGTTCAAAGTTTGACGAAATCGAAAAAAGGCTCGTTCGGGGTAGCAAACGACATATTTTCGAGACGAAGGCGGGACCAAACCGCCTACGGTAATTTGCGGCTTGCAAGATCTCGAAAAATTATGCGGAATCAAAAAAAATTTCGCTACGATCGGATAACCGAGCACAAAGTTACGTTTGTTTAAAGTTTCGACGCAGGTCAGGCCTTCACCGCGGCCGTGTACTGCAGTGATGCAATCACTGTCTTCGTCGACAGCGGTGATGCAATCACTGTCTTCGTCGACAACAGTGATGCAATCACTGTCTTCGTCGACAGCGGTGATGGCCCAAACTAACGTAGATTGGGAATTATTTTCATAAGGTTTGTATTTTGAGAATTTTTTTTAAAAACATGTGTAACTTGGGATTTTTTCCCATAATTGTTTTGGGTATAAGTACAACTAGTGTGGCCCCGGTGCCGGAGGAAGTTTAGGTTTGAAATTTGATAATATAATGGGGAGTATACCTTATTGTTGTATAGTTTTTTGGCAAAATACACTTTCATAGCCAAAACTATTCGCGTTGTGACAAATATAGCCACTTTTTGAAAAATACACTCGTATAGCCATTCCGTCCAAAACTTTAACGACACTATCTTAAATGCTGACTGTACTAACGTTTTCTGGTGATGTGGCGATTTTTTTGTTTAAACCAATCCTAGGTGGAAAGTTTCCTTTCTTATTTTATTGTAATTACACAAAATAGTAAAAATAAATAAAAATGGAAAACCGAACTTCATCATCTTCTTTTCCCCTTCTTTCCATCTACCCAACCCAGGAGACCCATCACGATTCTCTTCCCCGTTGTCCATATATCCCGTCGGCTGTCGTCGATTGAGTTTTACCCAGAGTATTCTGTCTCACTTCTCACTAAAACCCCTCCACCATCACTCCAAATCGAAGGCGGCACCCACAAGCTCATTCCCCTTAGCCTAGCGAACAAGAACATGAAGAAGGTCGAGACCGTCGGCCAGGCGATCGACGACATCGGTGCCACCGTGTGAAAATCCATGGCCCATATCATCTCCCACGATAGAGATCTCTCAAACGCTTTTTCCCCTGATTATGATTCCGATTCCTCCAATAACGGCGGCGGGGAGCGGGGCGCGTCTTTGTCGTCGAAACCCTACAATAGGTAAGATGCGCAATTGCTTGCTATGCAGAGCAAATTGAATACCTACGAGATTGCGGAGCTCCGTTGTGGTAAATTAGAGGGCAATAGAGCTCGAGGGAAGTCACGTCGGCGGTGGGGAAACTAAAGGAGAATCGATGCTGTAGATAGACGAGAGCAGAACAGATCTGGGGTTTCTTCACCTGTCGGCAGCGAAAGAGAAAGGGAGAAATGAAGGTCGCGGCTGCTCTATGCCTCTCGGCTTGGATGGAGAAGCGATGCGGTCGATTGGAGGCGGATCCTCTCCGAGGAAATCGTCGATCTCCGGCCAAATCCTCACCTTGATGGCGGTCACGGCAACCGCTCGTCCTCTTTCACCATTGTTATTGACTGGGGACGGGTTAGGTTGTGAGCAACGAAATTGATTTCGTCAAATCAAGGAGAAGAAGAAGAAGAAGAAGAAGAAGAAGAAGAAGAAGAAGAAGAAGAAGGGAGCTGATGTGCAGGATTTTTGTGGTCTCGATTTGATTTTGGATCCGGAAGAAGATGGCAGAGGTAATGAGCGAGGAGAAATTAAAGGAGAACTAGTTAATTATATAATAATTTTTTTTAATCTGTTGGTGGAATCCAAGTCAGCGGTGACGTGGGCTAACCGAGTCTAGTTGGCGACGACATGTCATCCAGGTGGAAGCCATGTCACTTGGCGATGACGGCGTCCGTGATAACTTTAACGACAGTAACAGAAATGGCTATAGTTGACATTAAAGTTTTACAAACTTTTAACTTTTGGCTATACGAGTGTATTTTTCAAAAAGTGGCTATATTTGTCACAACGCGAATAGTTATGGCTATGAAAGTGTATTTTGCCTAGTTTTTTTTTGGAAATTCGTGATAAAAATAGTGAATTTTAGCAGGAAAGAGACATGAATGATGCAATGAATCAAAAATCGGCCTTATGAACCAAAATCAAGTACATGTTACCTTGTGAAACAATATTGTCTACTCTATTTATAATACGCTGAAGCCTAAAACTGAAACCCCATTTCAAAATTGCTGCCTCCGGAGCGTTTCTCGGAGGGGTATTTTTGACACGGAAAAATACAGCGAGTCATATTGCGTTGAACGGGCCCACTGACCCACGAAGAGTCAGAGTCATCGTCGACTCTCCTTCCAATCTCGCCGCTTCTGCTTCCACCGCAGGCGTGCATAACCAACATCATCCACTCCTATCGAACTCCAGCCTGGGAGTCGACAAATCGTCTATCTCCTCTTTCCCTCTTTCTGTTTCCTTATCGCATCTGGAGACCTGTACTCGCCGAAATCTGCCTCCACCGTCGCCGCATCTGCCGCCAACACAGCTGCAGACCACCAACCTCCTCTACTCTCCTCGAAGACCTGATACTCCGGCCGGGGGAAGCGCTTTCGCCAAAAATCAGTAAGCGCACTCTCTCCGTCCAGCTTCTTCACTCAGGAACCCCTTTTGGGGAAAAATCGTGATCTTTCAGTTTTGCTGGTGGGTTTCCCTTCCTATTTATTCAATTGATATTTTTGATTTTTTCGAATCTCCCCCACTTTTTCCCGATCTCACTCTCTCTCCCTATCCGTGGTAACAAAATACTCATGATTGAGAGTGTTAGCGAGAGGTGGAAGACGTCGAAGCAAGTTCATTCCTATTGGCCCGCTCCTTTGACACACCCACCGCCGACGATTCCCATTTAATTTACGCCAGTCTTAGTGAGTGACCTTCACACCTCCGACGCACCGACTGCTCGCGATTCCGGTCTAATTGGCGAACGGTTCATCACTTCACTGTGGTAAGTTATTCTTTGCTTTTATGTTTCTCTGGGTTCGTGTTTTCCATTGACAGATGTATCAATTTTAATGTCAATATATTTCACCTCTGACCACTTCGAAATCTGCGTAGGTCTGCTGGATGAGGGGATACGATGAGAAGGCCATAAGCAAAGGGAAGTGCGAGTGTGGGTTCAAGATTTGTCAAGACTGTTACTTGGGCTGCGTGGGTTCTAATGGAGGCGGGAATTGTCTTGGGTGTAAAGAGCCCACAAGGGTCTTGACAATTATGAGGAGGCAGATGAGTAGAACGATTACTAATGCCACGGAGAATACGAGGAGGAAGATCAAGCTCTATCGTTGTCCAAATTGGACACAAGACTTCCATTGGTGAAGTCTATTAAGCGAATGAGCCACCCCCTGAGTTTAAGCGCACCAGGTGGTTGTTGGAGACCAATGGAACTTATGGGTATGGTAACACTGTGTGGCCTAAAGATGGGTATGGCGTTGGCCGCGAAGCTAATGGATTTGAGCAGAACAGTATTTGTTTCTGATGTAATATCTAGTCATGACAAGTATCCTCGATTTACCCTCTCTCAACCTAAATTGTGATTCAGGTTGCTAACTGTCGAACTTGGGGCTTCAGTATTTCAATTATGATGTTTTTTAGTTCCTTTTCTCTCTTTGCTTTATGTATTTCAATGAATGTGGCAACTATTTTTCCTATTTACCATTGCAGGCTGCTCTCATTGTGTTCAGCCTGGAAGCACTCGGATTGTTCATCACATCGAGGATCCGACACCCAAACCACCATGTGATGTGGCTATGGGTGATGTCAGTACCTTGCGAGCTCCGGTTTGCACTTTCATGGATTCTGGACCAACTATACAAGCTTTTCCCAGTCAACAAAGTCACTGATCTCTCCGTCCTTAAAGAAAGGTTCGAGGCATTACAACATTCTGGAATTGAACTGGCGGCTTTCCTTGCCCATATATTATGTTGAGGTATGTTGATTTTTCCCCAGGGCTGCTACTGTGTGAGTTAGTTGTAAGATGTGGAAGTTAAGAATTTGGAAATTCTATGCATTACTGAGATGTTTTCCCCCACATCTCTTCCATTGTTCTTATTTTTGGTGGTCATTATGAGTATGAAAGAATTATTAGTTGGTTCATTCTAAAAAAAGGATACTATTATAGAAATTAAGCTATACATTATGTGTGTTGTTCCTCTCCTGCTGCAGGGGAGTTGTAGTTGGTGTTATGAGCAGAACTAGATGTAAGAGCAGGTCAAGGAGATAATCCATATAATGGTATATTTTCTATTAATCTTGGATTTA